GGTAGTTTGAGCATTCTTTGGCATTGCCCTTCTTTGGAATTGGAACGTAAACTGACCTTTTCCAATCCTATTTAACATCAATATGAGACTGCTGGGAGAAGTCATCAATCAATTTGGTGTGAATTATAAATATAAATATGATGAACTAGTTTTATATCTTTACCCTGGTCTGAGTTAGAGATGCCATGGAAATCTCCACTCAGTGTCTAGAGGCTTTGAGGGACTGGGCAGGACAAAAGAAGCTTAAATTGAATCCTAGGAAGATGGAAGCACTGTTCATTCAAAAGCCATTTGTCTCCCTGGTTGCTTTTGCATTAGCTCTGGACAGTCACACTCTTAAAAGAGCAGGTCTGAGACTTGGCAGTTCTCCTAGATCATGGCTCTATTATTGATTGATTAGCAAACAGTTAGTGGCCAGAGGAGCCTTTGCTGGTGTTCCACTTCCTCTCCTCAGTACTGTAGAAATGAAAATCTGCCAGCTAAAAATCTGACCCCATCTCCCCATTCAGCAACTGGCTGGATCTTCGAAGTGGCACAAGACCCATCATTTAATCCCCATCCCTGATTAACATGGTTCTCCCAACTTTATGTAGTCTTTTTAAAGTGGTATTTAATCTATTAGTAGATAATCTTTAGAAGCATCATCCTTGTCACTCCTGTCTTTGGTTACATGTATCTCTTTTGTTATTACATTTTGAAGCATGTTTAGTAACAGTAAAATAAGGGAAGAAATAAGTGTTAACTTTGTTGTCTTGAGGTATTCTTTCATTGGCTTTCTTTTTTTATTAGCTTTATAGCATGAATGTCAAAGTTGTTTTTTTTCTTTTTTCTTTTTAATTACCAGATAGTTTTTATTAATCCATTTTGAAATAAACATAAAATAACGTAAAATAAAAATGAACAATTTACCATACACAAAAAAAAAGAAAAAAAATTGTGACAGAAACATTATTTATATTATACAATAGTAATATAATTATGTAAATACAATATGCTTAATTAAAATTAAGCATAAAATATGCTTAAATATAATTAAATATAAGCATACTGATTTCAATCAAATTTAGCCCTAAATGTGTATATCCAGGCTTCAGTATTTAAAGACTGTGAAACCAATTCAGTTAAGTGTGTCTTAACAGTATGAGTCTTAGCTTGAGTTTCTGTAAGAAATTCCCACTAATTTTACTGGCAATTGTTCTGAAATAGATGTTTGTAGGGTTTGCAGCTTAAGTTTATTCATTTAATCAGTTTTTATACTGTTGCACTCACAGGACTTGATTGTTCTGAAGACACGAAAGTAATTTATTTAGTGCAATTCAAGCTATAAATGGTGGAGGTAATAACCTTTTAATAAAACTTAACAAAATGTAACTGAACAAATGGTGCTTGGCTATACCAATTATTAACACAGTTTACTTTAACTTTTCTGAAATTTAAAAACTAACAAAGTTCCTGTGGAGCATTTAATGAAAAGCTTATATATTTCAAAAATACTAAGAACAAATTATAGTCAGACTTTTTAAAAAACTGGATTATATTTTATTATTAAATGCTTTCTGTTTCAGGCACTTAGCAAATGAAGGGAAATGTTCAGTTCCAGTAAGAATAGCTTTACTGAATTGTATGACAGCCTTCCTTCATGTAAGTAAAAATCCAGAAGCATTTAAGAACTACTACTACTTATTTGAGGTTTCTAAATCCATAAAAACATAATGAGGACATTTCCTTTTTTTCCAGGCTGACCCTCATTCAGAATGGGCTGTGCTTACAGTTAAATGTGAAAATCTACCTGTGAGAGATGCTTTTCCTCAATTCCTTGCAGATAACAACTTTCAAGTTTGTATGATTGCAGCTAAGTCAGCAATCAGGTATACATGTTCACAGTTTTAGAGATATGATTTATATATCTAGGTTATTAAAATTACTCATATCGCTAGCTTATTAAAATTATTTAGCAGTTCATCTTCTTTCAGAAAAATATGACATGAAAATAAACAACCAAGGCACCCATTTAAGCAATTCTTCTTTCAAACGTTTCATGTTTTGAAGATTTAGGGTAGGTCTAGATACCCAGCACTTTGTGTTAACACCTGTTTCTGTTGCTTAGGAGACAGAAAAAAGAATACTTTGTTCTAGTAAATAACAGTATGAGAAATTTATGGTGGATCTTTCTTCAGGAAGATGGCAGTTGGATTTTGAAAGTGCTGTAATAGTTTGTTATGTCTATTTCTCTTTCGATTTGTGTCCATGCCTTTTTAGTTAAACTCTTACTCTACAAGAAATTCAAGGCGATAAATTTTTCACCTGTATTCATAATGCTGAGTTTATCTTTTTAGACAAAGGTATGTGCTGCTTAGTTAAAAAAATGTTTCAGAGAAAAAAACCCCCATAAGAACAAAATAGAAATACCACAAATCTACCCTATTTTAGAAAACGAATATAGACATTAATTCTAAATTCCTTTTCTCTCTATTTAATGATAAGTTTGTTCCAAGATGTGAAACTGAGAGATGCTACTGGTTTATTGAAAGGTCTTCCTTTGAAGTTCCAGCAAAGAGCTTTTGAGAACTTGTACATCAAAGTTCAAGAAGGAGCAAAGAAATTGGTAAGAATTATCACCAAGCATGCATGAAGATTTCAAGTGTAAACATTTCCCTCATTTGTTGATCCAAGAGTATCTGTTTGAAAAGAGTTTGTGTGAGAACTCTATGGCTCTTCCATCTGGTTTTCCATCTGATACTTTGTTGGTTTTCTCTGCTTGTTCTCTGGTTTTGTGCTACTGCTTCCTACTCCATGCTCCCTTTCCCTTACTTCACAGCTGCACTTCTGTTCCCACTTCTTGCTGTGTTTTTCCTACCAGCTTACCACCTTTCTTCTCTCTTCTACCCACCTGTCTCCTATCCCACTTTTTCCAGCCACACATACCTTCCCACACAGACATACATGTTTTCTCTCAACACTTTCCCAGAGAACCCCTGGCTTGCCATTCTCTTTCCTTTTCTTAGAAAGTCTCTTGAGAGAACAACTCTCTCAGAGCATTGGTAGGGAATTCAGTTTTAAAGGACAGAGAGCTAGATGCCTTGCTGATGAGAGGAGGAGGTGTATGGGAATAAAAGGGCACCTGTGCCATGTCAGATTCTACAACACTTAAACAATTTAAAAATCTTTTGAACAGTTAGTAAATTTAGACTGATTATTTTATGTTTAGCAAAATTTTATCTGTCCCAGTAGATCCCTTTGATCATTTCTTATACCTGTGTCAGAATGCTGTTTTAATAAAAATATAATTTAAAGCTACTATGTGTGTAACTAAAAAAAGTTCTCTTTCACTTTGTGCTTTGTCAGTTGAAAGCACATGATACAAGGAACCAAGAAAGCCATCCTGATGAAGAGCATAACAGAAAAACAGTCCTACTCATGTTAATAACTATGATTTTGCACAGCAGTCCTGTGTGTGAGAAACAAGCATTGTTTGCTATTTTCCAATGTACGAACAAGAATGGATTAGATCCTCAGCTTGTAAGGAAGGTATGTGTGTTGGGGAATCACTGAATTAAAGAAGATAAATTCAAGTGCCTGCAGTAAATATTGTTCTACAGATTCCAAATAAGTGAAAGTAGGAATATCGGTTTTTATAAGGAGGGATATAAGCATAAGTTATATTCTTCTCCTGCCGAGGATAGTCAGGGATTACATGGCCCTAATTGGCCTGGTGTAGCAAAATTCCTTCCTGGGGTTTTCATATTTTTTGTTAAGTATAAAATTTCAGTTTCTTATTTCCAGTATTTCCCCTTAAAACATTTCTGTTATTGTTTCAGCTCTCTGTTACCTTCGGTTTGTTCAAATATTCTGTTCTAAATCCTTTTAATATTGTTTTGCCCTTTTATTAATCCTCACCCCCATCCCTATTGTCTTTCTTTTTCTGCTCGTGATTCCAGTAGGGAATATAAACACACATAGCTGCTCGCAATGGCCACATAATCAGAAGTAAGGCATCACCATTACTGGAGCTCTGACTGCTTTTTTCTTCAGCACATGGATCCATGCTGCACCAGATTAAACAGAGCCTCTTCCAGAATCTGTACATGTTGGCAGTTGCTGCCTTCGGGAATTAGGCAATGCAGCAGTTCAAGGGCCTTACAAAAATAAGAACATTTTATACTAGCTGAAACTGATTGATGAGTGGCTTGGAGGTGGATAGGTTATGCTTCTGTCTTTACAGTAAGGGTCCAGTGTATCATTAACACTGGGGGGAGGGGTTATCTTTCTTGCAGCCAAAGTTTATGCCCCTAAGAGCGACTGTGATGCCATGATCTCAATGGAGGGTGCTATATTTTGGGCTTGTTATGCGTTTGGGGCAGGATTTGAGGGGGCTTAAGGGACAATATGGATGTCTTCAGCTTCAGCTTGGTTTAGAAGCTATCTTAAATTATTTCCTTTAAACTGGAAAACTGCAAGCCTCTTAAAGGGGCAAAATGTAAAAATTAAGACAATCAGTTTGGTCCTGCTCATCTTTGGGGGTGTGCTTTGGAGGTTATGCATGCTAGCAAGGTTATGCTCAAAATCCTACAAGCTAGGCTTCAGCAATACATGAACCGAGAACTACCGGATGTACAAGCTGGGTTTCGAAGAGGCAGAGGAACAAGGGATAAAATCGCCAACATTCGCTGGATCATGGAGAAAGGACGAGAG